GAACTCCTGACCTCAAATGATCTGCCTGTCTCGGCCTCACAGAGTCCTGGGATTTTAGGCATAAGCCACCATGCCTGGCCTTATTTCAGTTTTAAATAAACCAGAAAGTGAACAGCATAGAGAGGAAACATGATTTGTGTCCCTGAGTAGAGAGCTTTGAGGTAATTTATTTCAGGTTTCATAGTTCAAAGCATAGTTATTAAGAGTAAGGACTTTGTTATCAGCTTCTAGGGGCACTGAGGTCCAACTCTACTGCTTATAACAATCGATGAACTACTTAACCTCTTGACACTTGATCTCATTGTTTGTGGAAGGTATAACAATAGTTATCTACTTCGCTAGATAATAAAGGCAAGTAAAACTAAATATAAAGTATTTAGCTCAGAATCTGGCACTTAATAAGTGGGGCATAAATATTAGCAATTTATTTATAAATGAGAAGATGATTAAGAGTAATAATGATTATAATTATATTTTTGATTGCTGCAGTGTTAAAGCTTCCAAATAGAAATCACCTTTGATTGCATACATTTATTTAATGGACATAGATAATTTATATATTTGCATAAGAAAGTTGTGTCTGTTGGAAAATACTGCATAAAATATTTTTACAGTAATAACATTTAAAACTTCCTTTCCCTCAGAGGTAATTTTTAAAATGGCAATGGTCAGAAGTATAATTTAATAATGTGCAGATAGATAGTATTGGATTTTAAAAGACATGAGAGATAAATAAACCCTCACAAGGGCAAGATGATGGCTGACTTTAACCTGACTATCCCTATGGTAATTCTGATAAGAAGAATAAGGCAAAATACAATAATACTGGATCCTACGATGCAGAAATTTGTTGATTTCTACAGATGTAGTTGAAGAAACTATTAAAGTTATTTATATAAATGCCAAGTCTTTGAATGGTCCAGACCAGAGAATGGGCACTTGAGAGGGAAGGAGACAAGAATCGGTGAGGCTGGGAGAAGAACCATGAAATGCCGGTAGAAATGGTGCTACAGCAGAGAAAAACAGCCAGGCCCAAGGCCATGTGCAGGATGCCACTAGCCTGCTGAATCTGTCCACTTCAAAGGAGCAGTTTCTGCCTGAGAGCAGGCAACAGAATATGTGATTATGAGTTGAAAGTTTAGTGGTTCTTTTGTTCAGCTTTGGGGGAAGCCCAGATAGGGCTTTTTGTGGAAACATTTTTAAAAAGTAAATAGAAGAGCTTGATTTTTTTTAAAATGATGGACAAATTAACACAAAGAAATAAAAAGCATACAAATGTGTGATTTCTGAGAGATGTTTTAATCACGGAAAATTAAATAATAACAAGCAGGAAGAAATCTAAATCACTGTCAAAAAATACTAAAAGTTACAGCAGGAGTGAGGACACCTCTGAAAGGCAACCTGAGAGAAAGAACAGCTGGAATAAGCAAGGATGCTTGCAGGGCTGGGAGTAGGAGTAAGGGTGGTGCACAAAACCCTAGAAGGGTTCTGATAAGAGAGGAAGGAAGCATTGCTCTCTCCTTCAAGGGTCTAAAGTAGGGGTTTGCTTCACTTAAAGACAGCAGAGGGACTGGCATAAATGTGTATGTCATGCCTCCAAATTTCATCTCATTACATTATGGCTCAGTTACTCATTTGATCCTCCTAGATTCGCTAAACAGCAATGAAAGAATAACTGTAGAATGAGACAGGAAAGCAGAGAAAGTAGCACAATCCAGGAAGGGACATTCTCCCCAGAGGTTAAAAAGAATTTCTATTCACTTTAGGAGCTGAAGACAAATAGTTCATCAAAACTGGGAGATGGGGATGTGAAAGTGTCAGCCTGTGTGTGGCAACTCTCTGGTCAAGGCATCCGCTTCTCCATGTGCAGTATGAGCTAAAGCTGGACACTGTGCTCAGAGGTCATTTCTGGCTTTGCTTTTGTTTTATTATTATTATTATTTAGAATTAACATGGAGAAATAGGTAATTTTGGTCTTTACCTATTAATGGAGTAAAACATTCTTATTGTAAAATGATGGGAGTTTAGGAACCTAAAGGACAAATATGTGCGTGAAGATAAATCAGTAATTCCTACCTTAAGCCTCAATGTAGTTGATGTCAGAACTCTTTTTGGGTGGCTGTTTTTTTCAAATTGAGTGTCTAGCATTTTTGGAGATGATTTGAAGAAATGATAAGTATGACTTTCAAAGGACAGGCTCAGATTTGGTAAGAAACTCCAAAGAATATACTTCAAAAAATTAAAGAGAAAAATTAAGGAATAATAGGAAGAAAACTAGACAAAATTTGAAAAGAAAAAGGATTCAAACTTATTTAAATCACATTTTTAAAATGTAAAGCTATTACAATATTCCTTTCATTTCTACTAAATACATACTTTCTTCAGGATTTCGGGAAGTTTTGAGATGGGAACTCTCCTCAATGTGGTTTACATCGTATCTGGTATTAGTGCTTCAAGGGAAGAGTTAAAGTCCTAGAATTAAGCTCGTGGGACATAGAACTGCCTCAATCTCCAAGCCACCTGCACGTTTTTTGTCCCAGAAGTTTGAACAATGTCTTATATAAGGTAAATAAGAAAAATGAAGGTAAAGGCTAACTTTTATTTTCCCATCAACTTATACCCTACAAGGTACTCCGGCTGGAAACAGGGCTTGAGAGAGACAGCAATATTGCACATGAGCAGCAGACATCAAGGATTTGTGGACACTGGTAGCTACAGAGACATCATGTTGCCCACAGCCCACAGCCAGTGAGACATATTAACCAACAAAATACTGGACTCAAACCTACATAAGAAGCCCCTCCTCACTGTCATTGCCCACTTTGTCAGGAGATACGACGAATTACCATGGTGCATAGTGGTGACTGTGACGGGAACGTCCCCAAGCCAAGGTTTGTCAGGAGTGTAGGGCATGGCCAGCTGGCTTTGACTTCTAGCAGCACATGTTAGAGCGTTTGACTGCATTCTGTCTAAAAAGGACATTTGTTACCCTTTAACCAAGTTCTTTTTTTTTTTTTAAAGAGTGTTTTTAATATAAAACTAAAATGCCATGTGTTCTGAGTCCAGTGGAATTCACAAGCACCTGTAGGAGTCTTAACTACATTGGTAAATGATTTTTCAATTGTCTAGCATACCATCTTCCTTCTGTGATCTTAAGCCGAGACCATAAAGGTTTTAATTAATAATTCTCACCACGAATCTTCCAGGTGTGTGCCAGTGAGGATTACTTAACTGAAGCAAATAAGGGTAAGATATGCATTTACGTATTTATATGCATACTTATATTAGAGGCTCAAATTGCTCCTGAAAACTCCAAATAAATAATTCAACACCAAAATACGAATTCTGCTTCTAACTTGATGTTTGTATTTCTTGTCAGAGTGTGTGTGTCATAAGAATTTTGCAAAATGTTCTTTTTTGTTAATCCTAATATAAGATATTGATCATAGTTCAAATACCACTTATTGGTTAATATTTGAATGGAAACTACATGCTTATTTAATTCAAAAATTATTCTATTCATTACACACATAATAGTTTTGCTTGGATTGAAATAGTGAAAACATCAATATGAAAAGATTTATTTAGAAAAATTATTGATGCTTAAGAACTAGGTTAAAATGTGGTATTTTAATAAAAATACACAGCATTGTATTATTGGGTTTAAATTATAAATACAAGCTACAACAAAAAAAGGAAAAGAACGTTTCTAGGTGACATAAAATTAATGTAAGCAATACTACCAGAAATAGAGTTAGTGCCTGATTCAGTAAAAATAATTATTTCAGATGAAATCAGCTCTCACTATGGGATATCATTCATGGATTTTCTAGTATCTTAAGTGGTACCTTTAAATTCTTTACGCAATATCAATAAACAGCTTGGCCAAAAGAAAAAAAAAATCTCATTTGCTGAGGGATGAAATTCTCATGGCATACTTTCCACATCCTATAATTTGTTCTACATGCCTCCCTGGTCTTAGTTGGTGATAAAATAAAGTTTCACTTTGATAAACCGAATGTACAAAATATGTTTTAAAGTCAATGCTCTGTATAGCAATATTCTTTTCTTATCAGTGACAGTACAACACTATTGCATACTGATTTCTACTCTGAGTCATTTTCACAAAATCAACTAGAGCTGATGTTCACAAAATTTAGAGTTCTGATTTCCATACATATATGACATGAGTTGTGCTGAAATATCGAGAAATGTGTGCTTGAAATATATAAATTATTTTCACCCTATGTAAGTCAAATGACTAACCTAAGAATTATAAAGTTAAACTTCATTTATCTATGAAGAGATGTAGGTTTGATAAAGGCATTGCAATCATCAGATTAACTCTTCAATATTCACGTAATTTCCCATCCTTTAAAAATTTCTCCTTTATTTCTATAATAAATTACAGATATGGCACATCTCTAATAGTCAATAATATACAAAATGAAAGCCTTTAAAATTTGATAATAAATTGAAATGAACACATGTGTTCATTTTAAAAATAAAGGCTATGCAAAGACTTTGTCTATCCTATATGACTAGCACTATAAAATTAAATTTACCGATTTCTTTTTAAAACATGAAAAATAAACAAGATGAACAGAATACAATATCTCACTTACTATTGGGCTTTATAAGTGTGAAACTTGTTAATGTTCTATTTACTGCAGATCATCATTTCCTACTCCAGTTTGTTAAAGAAAGATATGCACACGACATCATATTTAACACTTCCGAAGAAACCAGATAAAGAAAGTTAATGAGTTATATTTAATGGTAAGGTAAAATTCCCATATTCTTTGCTAAATTTTCTAAATCAAATGGTAAGAGTTGGCAGGAATTCTGTGAGAACCTACCTAACTTATATCCCAGTCCAAATATTAAGAAGTTTGCTACAGCCATTCTTGTCTAATGATTAATCAGCAAACATTGAAATGCACCAAAGTTCAACTCTTATGGCACGGCCTTTGTAAGGATAGACTAGAAAGGCAGGCTACCTTTATGCTTAATCCAAATCCTCCTACTGTTTGTCTTCTGATGGTCACCGTTCTTTCCTGAAAGACAGGATTTTTAAGAATGGTTAGTGTTTCCTAATACTATACTTACACACCGTTTTCTGTTGTTGTTTGGTTTTCTTCTGGGTTTTGCTTTTGCTCTTTAAAAAAAGAGAACTCTTTTGTGGTGGGATAGATGCTCCACATTTTGTAAAAAATAGTCCTTGACTTTTAAATCCAAGGGATATTTGTCAAAATAAAAGGGAGTAAAGTGTTAATAAACTCCTAAACTCTTAAAAATAAGTTACTCTCAATGATTATTTTGGGCATATTTTGGAATCTAAACTTTTATACTTCTTCTTATTTCCACATCACGTATTCATGTTTTCTAAGAAATGACAAGATTTAGGTTATATAAAAGGAATTCAGAGGCAATGGTAAATATGATCTTGGTAAACCATGGCCCTGTCTCCATCACTGCCTGGAATTTGGGAACTAAGCTAGGAGGCTGCTGTGGCCAGCACAGAAATGATTCATATGAGTACTTTAGATTGAAAGTGAATAAACCAAGTCCACAATAAATTAATTGCTTGTTCATAAAATTAATACATTACACATCTAAGTAATAATAATTGAATTATCAACTTAAAAAATTAGTTTCTTTTCCTCTCCACAATAGAAGTAATTCAGTCACTGGCCTATAAAACTTCAAAATCACAAAGATGATGGCATGAGAACAAAGAGCTACATTTGGACAAATCCTGTAATTTTCAATTTGAAAAATCGATACTACTCTGATTTTGGACAGTCGTCTCTACATAGTGCTTACTGTGGAGGCATGTTATAGGGCTGAACGCTTTAATTTTTAGCTTGCTCCATTACATCAACCTTCTTGAACCTCCCCCTGTGCAGAGCCATTTGAGACACTGACCCCTTTCCCCTGCATCTGGGGTATATATTTATTATCTGGTCCCTATATCTCTACAAATGCCTTTTGCCCACATTATCCATTTCCAAATGGAAATACCCCTCTTTCTTACAGATGAATTGCTTCCCTCATTTCTTTATTCTGCAGAAACTGTGTGGAACAGATAATATCATTTAAAAAGAACTAGTGAAAATCAGAAGAATGTGTGCTTCTGCTGGCTCTTGCTAAATATTTTAAGACAGCATAAGACTCTTCTTTTGGCAAGGTTAAAAACTTCCTTTTTTAGCCAAAAGTTTGGTTTCTATGAATAGAACAAAATAATGCTTAAAGAACAAGATCTCCATACCAGAATTTGAGGTATACTAATATTGATTTATTTTGAATTTTGAAAATAGGACTTTTTGATGAAGAATGGTGCATATTTACTTAGATATTATTATTATTTTTGAATGCAAATGAGTGACATTCAATGATATAAATTGTCTTTATTTTCACAATGTGCTGAGTAATTTCATCTATTTCTAAAATACTTATGTTACTCTTATAATCTGTCATCTAATCATACTTTCAAACCAACATTAAAATTATAATTGCACAAATAAGTTTATATGTGTATAACAATTTATGCAAAGCAACTTGAAATATAAGACAAACTAAACTTTGTGGTATTAAATAAAACACCAAAGCAAAAAGGAAGGTTAAACATGTGTATTCTAGGTACACAAAAATCTATTAATAATTTAAGATAAACTACATATGTATTAGAAATGTCTTTTTATTGAACAGGAGAAGTGCAATCTGTCTAATTAATAATTAATTAATATTTATTATTTCTCATTAAATGATTCATTAAAGAGAAGTTGAATATTGCACACAATATTGAAATTGAAGTTAGCGAACGTGCCAATGACTCAAATAGCCACAACTTCATATGTTCAGCAAATTACTTATGCCCTGTGAGCCTCTGTTTTCAAATTTGCAAAATGCTGATAAATAATACATACCAATTAAAAGTTTTGTTTTGAGAATTAACATTTGTAAAGGACCCTGGCATAGAGTAGAAATTTAATGTTCACACACACACACACACACACTCCAATATTCTACACAGAGATTCTTATATAATAGTCATTTTAATATATTTACATCATAGAATAACTCAAATTCTAGAAGACTCAGATTCAGGAACAGGCAAATTAAATAGTGACAATTTTTCCTCTAAAATAGATAGGTAAACTGCTTTTATAAAACTGACCACCAACTAAACTAAAACTCCCGGATGACAGGAACTATGTCCTTTTTTCCTTTCCTGTAAAAAGTAAATACGTGATTCCTTAAAACAGTATCAAAATCAACGGTGCACTCATCCAGACAACCAATATCAGTTGTCTTCAAATACAAATTTCAATCAGAGCAAATGCATTTTAATCAGCAAATGGCATCCCCTAAATTTTGTAGAGCATTTTGCATAGCAATCATTGGTCATGAGGAAAACTTGGTCAGTAATTGCTGTTCAGTAGCTAAATGTGTACTGAAATGCTGCTTTCCTTTGACAGAAACAACAAGCATCCCAGAGTTCTCAAAAACCATTTCTTTGAATTTCTTTACTCATGCTCGACAAGCCCACCCTCTAATCTCTGGTGGAGAATATTTAGAACATGTTCCAAATCAAATACAAAATTGCTGATGCAGAAAAGATTTCGGAGAGACTAAAGAGTCAGCAGAAACTACCAAAAATATCTCAAAAACAGCGCTTATCTTAATGTTTTATTAAACACCTGGACACACGCACATAAACATGCAAACCCTAGCTAGTGCCTCCAGTTGCTGCTTCTTCATTAGCTTACTTTTAAGAAAGTTAGGAAAGACGAGGCAAAACAAATTACTTCGTGTTCGAAAACCAAGATTATGCATTGGTCACTACAGGCAGCAGGAAGCATAAAAGGGGAAAGAACTGTTCTTGGTGTGACCTCTGCTAATATGTTCCCAGTTGTTTGTGTTTGCGCTAGCTCTGCCACTTTATCCCTTACACCTCTGCTTCTTCCCTCCTCCCAAAATAGATGCAATAAAAAGAAGAAAACAACCTTGTCAAATACTCAGCTTATAAATCAGACAATACCTGGAAGCTGACCTGAAATTATATTTAGTTAACACATCATGAGTGTGGTAAAGACTGTTGCCAGGTAACAAAACACCGTCCTTTGGGAGACCAAAGTATTGTCAGTGATTTTATCTTGTAAAACACAAAATCTGGGCTGATGCTCCTATACAGTCTCATATACACAAAATGCCTTCATTTAATCTTCCCATTCCTTACAAAAATGCAAAGGACTGAGTCCAAGATTAATATCAGACTTTATAAAGACTGGCTACACACCTAAATAATCAACATCAGTGTTACAAAAAAAAAGCCTTGTATTAAACACCTAGTATGCTTTGTAGAAAAATATAACTAGCACCTCTGCTTTTTGGAATATTATATTATAAGTTGCATATAGGGAGAGATTATATGAACTATATGAAAAAAATATACA